TCCTACATAAGTGATCACCACTGAAGGGGCTAGAAGTCTGGATACCCTAGGCAGGTGGTAAGGAGAACCCCTTCTGCAGAGAGCCTAATGTCTTTTTACTTCTTATTATTCTCACATGGTCTTCTATAGGTACCTCACCAACAACTGAGGTTAATGACTTTCTCCTAAAGTGACAACTCAGTGAATTAAGTCCAGCTGAGACTGGACACTGAACAATCTCACTTTAGGGCTCACACTTTAACTGGCCCCTTGCAAGAAAGTGAAACTGATGCAAATAGTCACTCACTTGCTTCTTTTTGGTTTTGTTTTTGGGTTTTTTTGTTTGTTTTGGGGGTTTTTTTTGGCAGTTGGTCAGCACAGGGATCCAAACTCTTGACCTTGGTATTACAAGGCCACGCTCTAATCAAGTGAGCTAACTCGCCAGCCTTTCCTTTCAGTTTTGATTTCTTTTCAGCAAGGCAGTCAGCCATAACTAGGTCTTTCTACTGGCTTAAAACCCCACTCTCAGGGGTCCAGTAAATTGGTAAATGAAGGGACAACTATCACCTAGTCAAATTCTAATACGCATATTAGCTTGCAATTTGTTTAAAACCTATTACCAAGCATTTCATTTCTAACACTAGTCTTCCAATGTTATCACTCTGCCAAATTCCCTAACAGGCCAACTGGAATTCACGTATGTATACTGATAACTGTCACGCAGGTCAAGCAGCTCTATGAAAGCAACACAAAAAGCACATGGAACAAACAGCATAAAACTAATCTATTCTGCAGTGAATTTTATTGAATTCAAAGGTAGCATTCCTTCATAAGACATAAAAAACTAAACTCAAGTTGTACAAGCATGCATCGTGAGACAAACCAAGGATGAGGCCTGTTCAGCCCATACTAAAGCAGACACCAGTTTATACCACAGCCCACATGAAAGTATTTTTATTCATTACAAATAGACAGTAACAGTGGCAACACAAGGTCCCAGAATGAGACCATAAGTGCACGTGAACTTTTTGTGAGTTCTGACTAGGATCTGGACAAGCCAAGCCTATCATGCTTTTCTCACAGTCGGGGCAACAGAACTCATCTGCTAATGCCAGAAACTTTAAAACTCTTAATCCAGCTGAAAATGACAACAATTGAGGACCTTTTTCCTTGCTAGCTGCTCCCCCAATTTAGAGTGGTCTAGCAGGTTAACTTCAACATAACAAAAGACATCATCGGGCTGGCTGCATCATGTACTGTTTATAGGCACAGGTTTAGCGAGTTTTATGCTCAGATTGCTGGGCCTCCTGGCTGGTCTTGCCTATCTCTGCACCTTGGTCCTGAGCATTCTGAGACTCAGTCAGCTGAGGATAAAAGGGACCTACCAGCCAGTTGAGGGGTGTGTTGTTAACAAGATAATCCATCACATCATCTAAAGATTCCTTCATTTTCTGCAGCTTCCCCGTGCTAGAAGTGAGGAGGCCATCAGACACTTCCTTAAAAGAGGCAGCATTGTTGAACACTGAGTAGATGTCACCTGCCATCACCCCCAAGTGGTTGACCTGATCTTGGATGTTCTGTGGTAACCCTTGGATGCTGGACAGAAGAGTGTGGCACGTGGTCTGGAGCTGCTGAGTCAGGCTGCGGGCAATAGCAAGAGTACGTGACTCGATGTGCTAAAAATAAAACAAGTAAGAATTAGCAGGAGATCCAATGGTACTATGTATGAATTAGTTCAATCACCATAAGCTGNGTATCTCAGGTAAACCAAATTTTAAATTTCCCCTTTTCACTTCTTTAGCTCTTTAATTCCTGTTATCAAAGTGGACATAATTCATAGTACTATTCACAACAGCCAAGAGATGGAATCAACCTAAATGTCTACCAACGGATGAATGGATAAAAAACTGTGGTATATATACACAGTATAAGAAAAAAATAATATCCCATCATTTGCAGCAACATGGGTGTAACTGGAAACCATCACACTAAGTGAAGTAAGTCAGGCACAAAAGGACAATGTGGAATCTAAAAAAAACCGTGTTCTCATAGAAGTGGAAAGTAGAATAATGGTTACCAGAGGCTGGGGGGTGAAATGGTTGGGGAGAGAAGGAAAAGTGGTGGACTAGTGGGTACAAAACTATGCTATGTACCCTAAATGAATCATTGTGCAGTATATGCATGTATTGAAACACACTGTACCCCACAAATATGTAACAGTAAGTATTAAAATATTTCGAATTAAAAACTATTTTTAAAAATTATATGTATTTTCCTAATAATGACCTGGTATTATGTACTAACACCTGAACTGCCATGTCGCTGTCCTACCGATGGTGTCCCCCTGCCTATAGTGCAAATTAGAAAAAGACACTCTATTTTTGACACTTCACTTCCATCTGTTGAGGCATCATTAATTTTACTTTAAAGATGAGAAAACTAAGGAGATTAACGGCCAGTACACCATGTTCTTTTGATTTTTTTTGCCCAGGACAAATGAGAAAGTCTGTATTATTAAGTGCAATGGAAAAAACATCCTTGAACACTCAGGCACACCATGCCAGGCTTCATGCATCCAAATGTTTATGGGCCTGCCATGGTTAGATACTGTGTTAGGCTTAGTCATTCTCTTTCCTCAAAAGAATTGTCTTCTTTGGGGGGAAAAAAAAAGCCTGTTAAACTTAAAATTTTCAGCCAGGTTACGCAACAACGAAGCTGCAAGATGTGAGGACACCACAAATTCTGAGACACGTTGACAACTGAATAAAACGTATGTAGGCACAGTCAAATTTGAGACACAAAGACAGTTAGACAAAACCATGTCCAATGTGCACAGCTCATGGCAAAAGCAAGGGGGCTGGTCGTGGTCTACTAGAAGCTAAGAATGGTCTGCATTATATTCTGTCCTTGCTCACCAAGAATAGCTTTGAAACCTGTCTCCTTTTCATAAGCAATTGTTACTACTGTAATTTTTTTTTTTAAAGATGACTGGTAAAAAGAATAGCTTTGAAACCTGTCTCCTTTTCATAAGCAATTGTTACTACTGTAATTTTTTTTTCTTTTTTTTAAAAGATGACTGGTAAGTCTTCTTTGGGGGGAAAAAAAAAGCCTGTTAAACTTAAAATTTTCAGCCAGGTTACGCAACAACGAAGCTGCAAGATGTGAGGACACCACAAATTCTGAGACACGTTGACAACTGAATAAAACGTATGTAGGCACAGTCAAATTTGAGACACAAAGACAGTTAGACAAAACCATGTCCAATGTGCACAGCTCATGGCAAAAGCAAGGGGGCTGGTCGTGGTCTACTAGAAGCTAAGAATGGTCTGCATTATATTCTGTCCTTGCTCACCAAGAATAGCTTTGAAACCTGTCTCCTTTTCATAAGCAATTGTTACTACTGTAATTTTTTTTTTTAAAGATGACTGGTAAAGGGATCTTAACCCTTGACTTGTGTGTTGTCAGCACCACACTCTCCCAAGTGAGCTAACTGGCCATCCTTATATAGCGATCCGAACCAGTGGCCTTGGTGTTATCAGCACCATACTCTCCCAAGTGAGCCACGGGCTGGCCCCTAGTACTGTAACTTTTACAACAGGGAAACACAAAGCTGTATCTTCAGGATTAGAAAACATGCATATAGTTATAGCACATGAATGCTCCAGTCGATTGAGATGAACCACAAAATACCAGCCCTGCAGTTCTGAGGCAAAGAGGGGCTGGGTAACGTCTGCATTTGGACTAAGAAAAACAATTTTTTTAAGAAGCAGAGGCATTTTTTAAGAAAATGCCAGTCACCAGGGACAGGCAGGCAAGTGAATGGACAGGCTCTATTCTGGAAGCCCATAAATCACAAAAGTCCACCCTTCCTAGAAATCAGAAGCTCCTTATCTGCAGAACAAATTAAAGAGCAGCTTCAAGTATCTCAGTGAGTCCTTGCTCTCCAACTCACCTGTTTTGATTCCTAGGAGTTACACTGAGGAGAAAAAATTTACACCTTGATAAAAGTAAAACTCTGATAGAGTCAATTCACACCAAAGGAGAATGTAAAGTTATGTGCTGCCTCCTTGTTTTTGTGGGAAGGGGTGAGCCAGTGTAGAAAGAGGAGACAAATTTGATTTAGACTTCAGTGCTGCTGAAGGGCAGCCCTGCTTACCTTTTAGCAGAGATGAGCAGAAGCACGTAGCTCTATTTCACAAGTTCTAAGATTCACTTTTTTGAAATAGTTTGACACACTGCAGCTTTGTGATAAGGAGATTCATGACAGTTCCTACATAAGTGATCACCACTGAAGGGGCTAGAAGTCTGGATACCCTAGGCAGGTGGTAAGGAGAACCCCTTCTGCAGAGAGCCTAATGTCTTTTTACTTCTTATTATTCTCACATGGTCTTCTATAGGTACCTCACCAACAACTGAGGTTAATGACTTTCTCCTAAAGTGACAACTCAGTGAATTAAGTCCAGCTGAGACTGGACACTGAACAATCTCACTTTAGGGCTCACACTTTAACTGGCCCCTTGCAAGAAAGTGAAACTGATGCAAATAGTCACTCACTTGCTTCTTTTTGGTTTTGTTTTTGGGTTTTTTTGTTTGTTTTGGGGGGTTTTTTTGGCAGTTGGTCAGCACAGGGATCCAAACTCTTGACCTTGGTATTACAAGGCCACGCTCTAATCAAGTGAGCTAACTCGCCAGCCTTTCCTTTCAGTTTTGATTTCTTTTCAGCAAGGCAGTCAGCCATAACTAGGTCTTTCTACTGGCTTAAAACCCCACTCTCAGGGGTCCAGTAAATTGGTAAATGAAGGGACAACTATCACCTAGTCAAATTCTAATACGCATATTAGCTTGCAATTTGTTTAAAACCTATTACCAAGCATTTCATTTCTAACACTAGTCTTCCAATGTTATCACTCTGCCAAATTCCCTAACAGGCCAATTGGAATTCACGTATGTATACTGATAACTGTCACGCAGGTCAAGCAGCTCTATGAAAGCAACACAAAAAGCACATGGAACAAACAGCATAAAACTAATCTATTCTGCAGTGAATTTTATTGAATTCAAAGGTAGCATTCCTTCATAAGACATAAAAAACTAAACTCAAGTTGTACAAGCATGCATCGTGAGACAAACCAAGGATGAGGCCTGTTCAGCCCATACTAAAGCAGACACCAGTTTATACCACAGCCCACATGAAAGTATTTTTATTCATTACAAATAGACAGTAACAGTGGCAACACAAGGTCCCAGAATGAGACCATAAGTGCACGTGAACTTTTTGTGAGTTCTGACTAGGATCTGGACAAGCCAAGCCTATCATGCTTTTCTCACAGTCGGGGCAACAGAACTCATCTGCTAATGCCAGAAACTTTAAAACTCTTAATCCAGCTGAAAATGACAACAATTGAGGACCTTTTTCCTTGCTAGCTGCTCCCCCAATTTAGAGTGGTCTAGCAGGTTAACTTCAACATAACAAAAGACATCATCTGGCAACAGAACTCATCTGCTAATGCCAGAAACTTTAAAACTCTTAATCCAGCTGAAAATGACTACAATTGAGGACCTTTTTCCTTGCTAGCTGCTCCCCCAATTTAGAGTGGTCTAGCAGGTTAACTTCAACATAACAAAAGACATCATCGGGCTGGCTGCATCATGTACTGTTTATAGGCACAGGTTTAGCGAGTTTTATGCTCAGATTGCTGGGCCTCCTGGCTGGTCTTGCCTATCTCTGCACCTTGGTCCTGAGCATTCTGAGACTCAGTCAGCTGAGGATAAAAGGGACCTACCAGCCAGTTGAGGGGTGTGTTGTTAACAAGATAATCCATCACATCATCTAAAGATTCCTTCATTTTCTGCAGCTTCCCCGTGCTAGAAGTGAGGAGGCCATCAGACACTTCCTTAAAAGAGGCAGCATTGTTGAACACTGAGTAGATGTCACCTGCCATCACCCCCAAGTGGTTGACCTGATCTTGGATGTTCTGTGGTAACCCTTGGATGCTGGACAGAAGAGTGTGGCACGTGGTCTGGAGCTGCTGAGTCAGGCTGCGGGCAATAGCAAGAGTACGTGACTCGATGTGCTAAAAATAAAACAAGTAAGAATTAGCAGTAGATCCAATGGTACTATGTATGAATTAGTTCAATCACCATAAGCTGGTTATATGTCCATCACATACGTGGATTCTTTGACTTTTTAAAAATCCTCATAGCAATGCCAAGTGCAGCACATTTTTTGTATGTCACAGATATGAACATTAACTTAGAGTTTAAGTAACTTGCCCCAGTTAACAGCTAGAAAATAGCTGAGTGAAGATTTAAGCTAGGCCTGAGTCTCCACAGTTCAGCACCTTAAGCTGAAGAAACATAACAGGCAGGGGAGAGCAGACAGAATGAAAATATACTCCATAGGGCTGGTCAGTTAGCTCAGTTGGTTAGCGCCTGGTGTTATAACATCAAGGTTAAGGGTTCAGATCCCCATACCGGCCAGCAACCACAAAAAAAAAGAAAATATACTGCATGTTAGTAATGTAATTTAGATACATCCTTCTCAAATAAGATGGCATGATATAAATAGTTAATATTGATTTTAAAGGTAAACACAAATTAGCTTTGGGTTTCTAGGACTACAACATGCTATTTCTTGTGTCTGGAACATTAGTGCCCTCATTGCCCTTTCACCTAGTTTATTTCCCTATTAGTTCTCAGCTTTGCACTCATGTCTTCCAGGAAGCCACCTGACTCACCCCCACTCCAAGGCTGCATTAGGTAGCCTTTCTATATATTCTCATAGCACCTGTATTTCTGCTGTCAAAAAAATGCTGTGACAGTATAGCTGCCTGTATCCTCTATTAGTCTGTACCCAATATGAAGGCAAGGATCATGGTTCTCATTTAGTTGTACCACATTAGGGCAACACACATGTCAGTAGGTTGTTAGATAAAGTTACTCCCTCCCCAGTTTTTCTTCTTTTCCTCATAACAAGTAACTTGTATTCAATATTGTTCAAGCTTTCGATAGAGAAGAGTACTAAGAGGAATTACAGGAAAATTGAAATAAAAAGTCTGATAAGAAACTATAGTAAACTAAAGATGACTCAATCATCTCACCTCAGCACAATGGGATTCGTCAGTATCATCATGGCCAATGCTTCTCTTCCACTCCACCCACGAGAGATAGAGCTTTTCCTGAGCATCCTGAATTTTCTGGTTGGCACTATGCACATTCTTTCTGGCAAATTCAATCTAAAACACATTGAAATAAGATAAAGGAACAAACTAGTCAGACATTCGTGTTAGCCTGTCTGCATATCTATGATGTAAATCAGGCAACATAAAAACCAAGAATTTCCATGAGTTTAATAAGAGCTATCTCTGCTATCAGTGTTATTTATTATCAGTGTGCAAGTCATCCAAGTAGTAGCAGCTCTTTACTGCCTCTACTTAACTATTAAACCACTGACTCCAAATTTACCTCCAGGTTAGCACAGGTAAGACAACTAAAATTTAATTTTTATATGTGTGAAGGATACGTTAGAATTACAAAAGAGAAAGGAATTCGATTTTCCTCTTCCCTATTACCAGCCATCTATTTCCCCTTCCATGAAGAAAGTGTTTTCTTATGACAGTACAGTACATACTGTTCTGTACCTTGGCAATCTTTAATGGCTACACAATAGTCTATTGTGATGTATCAATTTAACTAGTCCCTTATTAGTTGATGTGCATTGTTACAGTCTCTTGCAACTCCAAACAAGTACACATATCTATAAGATAAATTCCTACAAGTAAAACTGCTCAAGGTTTAGGTCTGTTTGTAACTTTCTTAGAACAGTCCCTTGAATCAGTCCCTCAAATCCTCCAGAAGTACACAAGTACGGCTCTTTCTCTACACCACTGTCAACAGCGTCAAACTTTGCCATTGTGATAGGACTAGAGGAGTCTGTATTTGATCCCTCAGAGTGGATTTAGCATTACTTCATGTATTTCAGCGATTTATACTTCCTTTTCTGTGAGTTGTCTATATACTCTTTGTCCATTTTTCTATTGGGTTGTTTACCAGGTAAGATAATGGATTTCATGGTTACATTTACTCTCATCCCTTCAGATAAATGAACTCACTTCAGATATCTTAAAATGAAGTTTTACTTACCAGGTGAACAGTAGAGTGAAGCTGAGAAATGGTCTCTTGGCTTTTTTGCTTAGCTTCTTTAACCCTGCTGAGAGCCTGCTGGTAGGCACGTGAGCGGAGCTTGGTAGACAGGGATCCCAGTCTAACATAGTAACTTGGCTTCTGAACCATATCAAATCCTTCGACTTTTTTTGCTTCTTTTTCTGAAATTAGAAAGGACAAAAAAAACTTAAGCGATCATAGTTATAAGTGACAAGACCTGGACTCTAACCTGGGTCTTGACTTTGTTGATTCTACCTACCCACTTAGCAAGTACGCACTCATTTTCCCAAGACTGCTCATGTCTGCTGCTGGGCTTGACCACACTGAACATATTACTGTATCTGTTACATATTACATGTATCTACACGTTTCTTCCCACTAGACTGAATTTCTTGAGGAACATGGTACTTGGCACAAAGTAGGCACTAATGTGCCTACTTTAACAATGATTCTTTTTTTTTTTTTTTTAAAGATGACCGGTAAGGGGATCTCAACCCTTGGCTTGGTGTTGTCAGCACCACGCTCAGCTAGTGAGCAAACCGGCCATCCCTATATAGGATCCAAACTCGTGGCCTTGGTGTTATGAGCACCGCACTCTACCGAGTGAGCCACGGGCCGGCCTAACAATGATTCTTTTTAATGATGATTCTGTAAAGCAATCCAATGAAGACGATTCATTTATAGAAAATTTTTTTCCGAGTTAATTTCTCCTAAATTTTTAAAATTTACTATGTATAATTCAATGTGAAACTTGATTGCTTTAAGAAGGAAAATCTCTAGAGACAAAAAGATAAGTGGTTGCCTGGGAGAGGAAATGGTGATTGACTGCAAACAGGCATGAGGGATCTTTTGGGGTGACAGAAATGTTCTAAAACTGGATTGTAGTGATGGTTGTGCAACTCTGTAAATTTAGACTGAAAACAAGTATATCTCAATGAAGGTGTTTTAAACAGATTAACATATGAAACATTATTCCAAGACAAAATTCCTATTACCTAGTTCTTCCTCAGTGAAAGGGAGGTACTGGTCGACCAGCAGCTCTGATCTGGTGAGTGCATTTTCCACTCCACTGCTCACAAGCTGCATCATCCGACTCCCCAAGACTGTGTTAATACTGCCACTGACCACAGACTTGGTCTTCTCCATACTGCCAGTCACTGCTCCTTTGGTCTTATCCATCACCCCTGTGATCGTGCTGGCAACAGAATCTTTGGCCCCGGTCACAGTAGTTGCCACAGCATCTTTGGCACCAGTCACAGCACCTTTGGCACTTGCAACAACCTACAAGTGGAAAAGCAGATCACTTGGCTGGTGAGAAACACAGGCACAAATACATATTTAAGGTCTTAACTAAGGCAGCATAGTTGAAGAGTTAAAGAAGTAATCTGGCCCTTTCACTCTCTCTTAGTCACTAAGATTTGATGAGCCTGAATTTCCTAATCAGGTATATTTGCCTTATCTGCTATACCACAAGGATTGTTGAAGGAGAAAATGAGATGAACGGATATGAAATTTGTCAAGGTGATAAGCTGTCTTCTTCTTCTTTTTTTTTTTTTTAAAAAAGATGCCCATTAAGGGGATCTTAACCCTTGACTTGGTGTTGTCAGCACCACGCTCAGCCAGTGAGCGAACCGGCCATCTGTATATGGGATCCGAACCCGGGGCCCTGGCGTCATCAGCACCGCACTCTCCCGAGTGAGCCACGGGCCGGCCCCTTAGAGTTTATTTTAAAAACTAAACATTAGTTAATATTACAAATGTCACATGTGCTTGTAGGCATATAGTTAAAGAGAAAAAAAAAAAGGCTCAGAATAAACGTGGTAAGGGGTAGCCGGTTAGCTCAGTTGGTTAGAGCACAACCTTGTAATATCAAGGACCAGCCAGCAGCCCCCCAAAAAAGGTGGCAACTTGTTACTCGTTGGTGATATTATGCAGCTATTATATAGCTCATTCTGATGTCACATAAATCCAGTGAAAAAACTAAAGATCAAGCTAAACCTGGCCCTGTACTTATCAGCATGTAGTTTATCTAGATTAGGAGAACATACATATGGAGGAAAGAGTGAGAAAGGAGGAGGCATATGGCAACAGGAACGTTGGCAAGAAAACCTTCTTTAAATTACTTGTTAATACCTCAGGGAAGGTCTTCTCCAAACTATCATTTACTAGAGCTTTCAGCTTTCAATAACCCAAACTAACTTTTTTGTTAATTTTAAATAAGGTAATTTGACTCTTAGTATTATACACAAGTTACCAAAATTTAAAGAAAATACCCAAAATGGAAAATAACTCTCACCATTAGAATACTCTCAAGTTGGGCCGGCCCGTGGCTCACTCGGGAGAGTGCGGTGCTGATAACACCAAGGCCCCGGGTTCGGATCCCATATAGGGATGGCCAGTTCGCTCACTGGCTGAGCGTGGTGCTGACAACACCAAGTCAAGGGCTAAGATCCCCTTACCGGTCATCTTTTTAAAAAAAAAAAAAAAAAAAGAATACTCTCAAGTTGGGCCGGCCCGTGGCTCACTCGGGAGAGTGCGGGGCTGATAACACCAAGGCCCCGGGTTCGGATCCCATATAGGGATGGCCAGTTCGCTCACTGGCTGAGCGTGGTGCTGACAACACCAAGTCAAGGGCTAAGATCCCCTTACCGGTCATCTTTTTAAAAAAAAAAAAAAAAAAAAGAATACTCTCAAGTTGGGCCAGCCTGTGCTCAGTTGGGAGAGTGTGGTGCTGATAACACTAAGGCCACGGGTTTGGATCCCCATATAGCGATGGCCAGTTAGCTCACTTCAGAGAGCTTGGTGCTGACAACACCAAGTCAAGGGTTAAGATCCTCTTACCAGTCATCTTAAAAATAAATAAATAAAGAAGTGTCTCAAGTAACGTTAAGTGAAAAATTTAAAGAGATGCACACAAGCATTCTAAAGGCTGTACACTAATCTATTTGGATTATAAAAGACAGAGCCAGATTTTTCTCTAACTGCTATCATTTTGTACCATGCTGTATTCTTAATTTGAAAGAAAATTTCAGAACTAAAGGATTGTCTGAACCAAAGGATCACCAGGACCGATGAGCCTATCACTTTTGTCAACATTGACTAGCTGTCCCATATGGAGGGTAGCCCGTCAGCACGGCACCAAGCCAAGTAAGAAAAGATTCTATATATCACCTCTGCATTTATCCAGTACCACATGGGAATCATGGAATCACGGAATGTTATTTGAGAGAGCAACTTAATCTTCAGCGGAAAGCCACAAATTGATAGAGATCAGACTGAAAGTATTCCACTCCAAAGGGGTCTAGTTCTCTGCTTCTTAGACACAATGGAGTGGCCATTACTCTTTCAAAAATACATCCAGATGCAGGTTGAGGGAAGAAATAAGTATCTGCCTGTTTGTGGCATCCCCAGCCTGTGCTAAACAGGTAGAACATGAAAACATGTGAGGTGGCAAGCCTCGGAACTTTTTTCTTAAGCTCACCTGGGTTGTTGGCTGATTCAGAATAGGCAGTCTCTCTTCAATCCTGTCTAGCCCCTTACAGGCAAAGGTATTGGCAATCGCAACTAGAAGAATCACAAATGGAAAAATGTTAACTAACTCTATAGGTATAGAATGAACACACATTACTATACTGTATACCTTTAGCCTTGTTATTAAAAAACAGCAAGAATGTTGAATCTTTTAAGACCAAATGCATTGCCTGGTTTCTCTAACTCAGACAGAGAAGAGGCTTAGCAGGTTACCAGCAACTTTCTTCCACTGACAGAGCAACAAAAGCGTGTGAGGGAGAAGAAGGAAGAGGTAGTGACAGGCCAGGTAAGAAGCTGGCTAAAAAGCTTCTTCCTCATCAAATGGCCCCTACTGTTAATGCCAAGAGTAACCAGGCTTCCCTGGAACCCTCATTCAGGGAATAAGGTATCTGAAAACTCTCTCAAAATTAGCATTTCCACGCTAGTTTAATCCCTACCTGTACTTAACTCTGTATTTTAGGGATTTAACTAGGAAACAGTATGCCAACAGCACACTGGACCTTCTTAACAAGGACCAGATTTTAATCCAGGCTTGGTCATTGTTAGGAGGAAGCCAAGAAATAGTACCAAATTTATTTAGTAGTAGCAAAGTTGGAATAGATGGCCTCTTAAGGTTTCTTATAATCCTAAAAGTTCCTGACAACCATTTGGGAAAATGATTTAGATCTTTATTCAAAAGCAGTTCATGATGTGGAGAAATTAGAACCTTCTTCATACGCTGTTGATGGGGAAGTAAAATGGTGCAGCTGTTTTGGAAAAGAGTCTGGCAATTCCTCAAAAGCTTAAACAGATTTATTATATGGCCCAGCAATTCCACTTTAAGAAAATTTAAAACATGTCTACACAAAAACTTGTACATAAATGTTCACAGAAGCATTATTCATAATCTCCAAAAAGTAGAAGCAACCCAATCGTTGATGAACTGATGAATGAATAAATAAAATGTGATCAATCTACACAATGGAATATTATTCCACAATAAAAGGGGATGAAGTACCAACACGATACTATGACACAGATGAACCTTGAAAACATGCTAAGTGAAAGAAGCCAGTCTCAAAAGGTCACATATTTTGTTTCTGTTTATATGAAATGTCCAGAATAGACAAATCTATAAAGACAAAAAGTGGATTAGTAGTTGCCTAGGGAAGGTTGGAAGGAAATGTAGAGTGACTGCTAATAAGTATGAGGTTTCTATTTTTTTTTTTTGATAAATTATGCACAACATAAACCTCACCATTTTAACATTTTTTTTTTTTTAAAGATGACCGGTAAGGGGATCTTAACCCTTGTCTTGGTGTTGTCATCACCACGCTCAGCCAGTGAGCGAACCGGCCATCCCTATATAGGATCCGAACCCGGGGCCTTGGTGTTATCAGCACCGCACTCTCCTGAGTGAGCCAAGGGCCGGCCCACCGTTTTAACATTTTTAAGTGTACAGTTCAGTAGCATTAAATTCATTCACAGAGCCTGACAGTTAGCTCGGTTGGTTAGAGCATGGTGCTAATAACACCAGGGTCCAGGGTTCAATCCCTATAACCAGCCAGCCACCAATAAAAAAAAAAAAAATCATTCATTCATTCGCGATGTTGTACAACCATCACCACTATCCATTTCCAGGATCTTTTCATCATCCCAAACAGAAACTTATATGAAGTTTCTTTCTTAGGTAATGAAAATGTTCTAAAAGGGATTGGGGGTGGAGTGATTGAGGTGATGATTGTACAACTCTGTGAATATACCAAAAACCATGGAACTATAAACTTTAAGTGGGTGAATAGTATGTTATGTTAATTTTATCTCAATGCTATCAAAAATAAAAAGGGGCTGACCAGTTAGCTCACTTGAGAGAGATGGTGCTAGAAACACCAAGGTCACAGGTTTGGATGACCTTACCAGCCAACCACCAAATAAATAAATAAATAAAAATAAAAAGAAGTTCATATCACTGTGTGGTCTCAAGAAAGTCAATTATTTCAGTTCACCACCTGGATGCTTCCCTTTTGATCTCAGGTGCCAACACAGAAGCATTTCTGAGGGATTTTTTATTATAAAGTATCATAAACATCTGCCATTGCTGTGAAACAGGCCTTCTATGACAATCAGGATCACTGGACAGTTTCTAGGTAAAGGCAGTAATGTGCCTCAGGAAGGGCTGAAGGCACCCTGAGTTGCTGCTGCTGCTCAGGGGCTCACCCCTGACCAGTCCCATGGCATCTGGAGGGAAAAATCACAACTCACTTTGTGGCTCTAGCTTCTGGATGATGGGCAGAGCACTCGTCATGGCCACCAAGGTGATGGTCTTCATGCCCTTCTCTGCCATCTCACACATAGACTTCAAGTAGGGATACTGGTCCTTTGTACTGACATAGGCCGAGGACACGAGGTCATACGTGGAGCTCACCAAGGGTAGGTTGGCCACCCGAGTCACCACACTCTGCAAACAAAGGGCGGGGGTTATTAACTTCTCAAATCACTCGAGAGAGAAAGGAGTCAAGAAACAGCTATTTAAAATTCATACCGGTTGTGGGTCAACTGCAACAGATGCCATTTTTCTTCCTGGAGAAAGAAGAAATCTGCGGAAGAGAGACTTATTTCAAGATATTGGGATAAGACTCCCAGATCCATTCTCCAACCCAAGCAAATGCTCATTTCAAGTAGAGAAAAAATCAAGACGAGCTAAGAGTAGTCTGCACCACTCCCTCCCACCCTGCAAGGTTTCCGGGCTTGTGTGTAAACTTCCGATAAAGCAGGGGGTCGGCACTGGTTAGAGCGCGGTGCTGTCACACCGAGGTCAAAGATCTGGATCCCGGCACCGGCCAACCGCCAAAAACAAACACACACACATGAGAAAAGAGGCTCGAGAAGTTGGTGGTGTATTCGTCTCGTTTCTCTGCCAGGATACTTGAATATTTGCCCTTTGGAAGGGCAATATCTGTTCCCCAAAATGCCACCCAGGTTAAAATCCATGTTAAGCCTAAAGAGACTTCTTAGGAGACATCTGGGTTCGTCAGTGTTCCTCTGGGGTCACAGCGTCAGGACTGTCAAGCCGCAGCTCTCTGGCGGATTATTTTTACCTCCCTTGTGAAAGGACTGAAACTAGTTTAGGGGAGACGAAGCCCAAGAGGGAGGAGTGCTCCGAGAATTGAGAAACACCTCAGGACGCGTCCAAGTGTAACTTCAGTGTCCCCAGCGATCCACACCGCACACACTGCTCCCTGCCGCCCGCGGGGCCGCAGGCGAGACCCGCACGGCCGCCGCTCCCGGGCCCGCCGCCGCCGCCGCCGCCCCCCC